TGACATAGTCGAAAAGAAAAAATTTCTGGATTGCTTTCCCACTGAACAACCTTCACAAAGTTTTTCAAACATCTCAAGGCTTGGAATACCAGTAACCATATCTTGAGTAATCAGTTGATTTAGTGATCGAAAATTCAAATGTCCAAACCTCAAATGCCACAACCAACTATCCTTGTCCAAACCTCAAACATTGAACTTCTGTCGAACTGATCATAGTCTTAAATTTCCTATTCTTCGACAATAGAGATTTTAAGACCAAATTGTTCTTGGTGTCTAACAATTTTAAAACTCCATCTTTCATGACAACTGAGAAACCTTTTTCGACTAGTTGTCCAACACTTAGCAAGTTGCATTTCATTTCAGGTACATAAAGTACATCTTTGATCATAGCTTTCCCCCCATTATTCATTTAAAAGACTATGTTGTCAGTACCTTCTGCTTGCAACGAACTATTATCAACAAGTTTTACCTTGCTCTTCTTCGACTCGTCAAAATCTGCCAACCACTCCTTTCGACCAGTCATGTGGTTCGAGCAGCCTAAGTTGAGAAACCAGATCTTGGATTCGACATGGTTATCTGCAACTGCAGCCATAACCACTATACCACCTTTAAAATCATCGGAATCTTGACGTGCAAGGTTCGCTCCTTCGTCATTTCCCGTCAATCCCTTGTCTTTTCTGTATCAATAATTCTTAGCCAAGTGTCCCCATTTTTCACAGTTATAACACTGCATACCTTTCTTATCTTCTTTGTCCTTTCGATAGTTTCCTCCTCCTCTTTTCGAGGATTCAGAAGATCTATCTTCGACCTTATTCTTATGGGGATTCAACCAAGACTTCTTGCCATGAGTCTTGTCAAACTCGACTTTGAATTTGTTGGAACCACCATCCTTTTTCCATGACTGAGTTTGCAGTGCCTGTATCGAGTCCTGAACTCTTTTCCTTTCGACAATCCTCATCTCATGCGCCTCCAACGAACCAACCAAATCTTCCACTTTAGTGGTTTCAAGATTGTTGGATTCTTGAATAGTTACGATAACGTGATCAAAGTGAGATGCCAACATTATCATTACCTTCTCAACTATCATCTTATCAGTAATGGTTTCACCACAACTCTTCATGATATGGACGAGTTTATGAACCTTCGACACATATTCTGCAACTTTTTCATCTTCTCCCAACGACAACAACTCATATTGTCGATGCAAGATTTGTAGTTTGACAACCTTGACTTTCTCACCTCCTTCATAATACTTCACCATAATATCTCATGCCTCCTTCACCGTTTCAACATGAGAGATTCTGTCAAAATTAGCAGCATCGACAATCGTTTAAATGTAATAAGCAGCCTTGCAATCTTTCTTCTTGACATTGTTATGGGATTTTTTCTGTTCGTCGGTTGCAAGTTGAAACACAATGTCGATGGTTTGATAATAAGACATAAAGAAAAATTAGTAGCTTGGGGTTTTCTTCAACGAGAAAGACACGACTACTCTGAAGTATTTGCTCCAGTAGCAAGATTGGAGACTATTCGACTAGTGGTAGCATTGGCATGAAACCAAGGATGGTCGACATTTTATTTTGATGTGAAATCAATATTTCTGAATGGTCCTTTAGATGAAGAGGTCTATGTCACACAACCTCCAAGGTCTGTGATTCAGAAGGAAGCGAGTAAAATATATAAGTTGCACAAAACGCTCTATGGCCTCAAGTAGGCACCTAGAGCATAGAACAAGAAGATCGACTCATACTTAATCGAATTGATATTTGTCAAATGCAAATCAGAGTATGGTGTCTATGTTCAAGTTGTAGTACAAGATATAACAATCATCTGTTTATATGTTGATGACTTGCTAGTAACTGGAAATAGCTTGGAGAACTTGTTGAAGTTCAAAGAGCTGATGATGAAGGAATTTGAAATGTCAGATCTGGGAAAATTGTCTAATTTCCTAGGCATGGAATTTCAAATGTCGAAGTAAGGTATGATGCTACATTAAAGAAAATATGTCAAAGAGATACTCAAGATATTCATAATGGATGATTCAAATCCCGCTTCCTTATCCGTCGAACCAAATGTGAAATTGGAGAAGAATGGAGAGGAAGACAAAGTCGATGTAACTTTGTTCAAGCAAATCGTGGGATCTCTAAGGTATGTTTGCAACAATCAACCTAATATAGGTTTCACTGTCGGGTTAGTAAGCAGATATATGAGTGAACCAAGATTATCATATATGAAGGTTGAAAGAATAATCCTGAGATATTTGAAGGGTTCAATAAACTGTGGAATACTATTTCGACGAGATTCTGAAGATAAAGAGGCAATAGTTAATTTCTTTTCAGATGTTGATTGATGTGGAGATAAGGAAGATCGAAAAAGCACAACTGAATATTTCTTTTAAGTATCTGGTGCCTCAATCTCATGGTGTTCGAAGAAACAACTTGTGGTGGCATTGTTATAGTGTGAAGCTAAATATATAGTGGAATCTTATGATGCATGCCAAGCAATTTGGATCAGATCTATACTTGAAGAAATGGAGGTCGAAGTGAAGAAGCCTCTAGTGTTCCAAATCGACAACAAGTCAACCATTAATCTGGCAAAAAATTCAGTTCTGCATGGAAGAAGTAAACATATTGAAGCCATGTTTCACTTCTTGAGAGAAAAGGTAAATCAGGGTGAACTTGAAGTTAGACATTGCTCAAGTGAAGCACAATTGACTGACATTTTCACCAAAGAATTGAAGATCGACATATTGCTGAATTTGAGAAAGAAATTAGGAATAATTCAGATCGACTGGATTGTAGGGGTGTGTTGAAATATTAAAATAGATTAGATTATATTAGATTAGCTTTAATATTTAAATATAATCCAAGTTGTGTTAGCCCAAGCCTAATTAGGGTTGTATATAAATAGTCATAGTATGTATCCTTATTTTGTACAATTCATTAAGTGAATAATAAAATTCTTATTTCCTTTATTATTCTCTCTTTCTCTCCTCACTAAAAGTGCCTCACGCACTAACACTTAACTGGTTCACTTGGGGCATCAACACAAGAAACTGTTTCATTTCTATGTTCACCATCAACACTTGTACCAACCTTTTCATCAAACTCTTCATTAAAACCCTCCATCCTCTCATCTTCACTATCATCAAAGTGTATATCCCTAACTAATTCATCACTAGATTCATTACCATTGAACTCACTTAATTTGGTATCTTCTCCATCACATATTTTACCATTGCCTTTCTCTCTAACCCTATCCATAAAGGTAATACCCCTAAGTATGGTTTTGGCTCACAAAATATCTCAACATCACACTTATGTTCAACAACAAACATAGATTACTCATCAACATCTCCATCGTCCCTAAATGACTTTAAGTCTTCTTTAAAACACCCTTGTTCACGTTTCCACCATATTTTAACAACATTAACATCAAACGTAGGTTCAAGGGGTTTCACTAAGTCACGTGTTTCAAACAAAGAACAATAATCTACATCTTGACTACTAAACACATACATCTCCACCATCATATCTTAGGTACAAATATTTTACAAAACAACCCTTTGTATAGAAGACAACCTTAAATTTACTCTTTTCCTATACAAAAATTACACTTAGGTTTAAAATTTACCAATTTAGGTCATACACAATTAGGTTTAAAATTTACCAATTTAGATCAAACACAATTAGGTTTAAAATTTACCATATACTGTCAAACAAATAGGGTATGAACTAGAAATACTACCTATATATGGATTCATATACGAAATACATATTAATAACATAAGCAAGATACCGAATCTAACCCTACCATTACTAAATAGGTTGCAAAGTGAAATACTTTGGACCATACTTGCTTATAGGTGACACAAGGGAACAAAAGCAAAGACAAAGGAAACGAGGGACCACACGATAGAAGATTTGTTCTGGAACCACCACGACAAGATCGTTGTTTGAACGCAACTTGGAGTGAAGTTGTTCTAGGGCTTCTCACTTTGAGGTTGGAATTGTTTAAGTGTTTCAAAATGGAAGGCAAATGGATGAAATCAGATTACGTTATCCTAATCCACGCTGGAGAACTAATTTAATAAATTTCTATGTCAACTAATTAAATATGTGCCACGTAAGCCTTTGTTAGTGGGAACTAACGAGAGAGACTAATTTTGAGGACGGAAAATTTAGTGAGGACCATTATTAAAAAGAAATTTTCAGAGGAACTAAAATTGAAGGGTGACATATTTATAGACTAAAAACATATTTAACCCTTTGTTAATAACAAATTAGTTACTAATAACAATTGATTAGTTACTGCAAGATATTATTTAGTTGGTTAAGTCAGATGCTTTATGAATAAGTCACTTAAATATATATGTTCTAATGTAAACTTCAATTGTTCAAAGATATATTTCACTTTTTTTGTTTGTTTTTCTAAATGCTTTCACATCACCATTAAGCTTAACTTCTTGCTTATGCTGCGCAATTCACATTGAGAACCTGAATTCCAAATTAAAGAAATGCAAGAGTTTGTGAGGTTAAAATTCTACGACATCTGAGTGAGTGTGAGTGATCTACTGAAATGTTGCAAGCAATTATGAGCAAAAAAAGTATTTTTTCTTTAAATCTTCAAATTCTTGATGGACAAAATCAGAAAAGACAACGTGCATTGAAGAATTTACTATTTGGAACATTGTGTGATTGAAAGAAAAGTTGAAAGATTAATACAACAAGCACTTCATGCCTAAACTAGCGAGAAAGATGGCCATGATAAATAGAAATGGAATAAGGGAAAATAAAAATTATGAGACTGTACATCATAAAATTATACGAATGCTGGAGCCCTAATGTTACATTACAGTCTTAACTATCCTTGTTCATAGAAAACATTGAACATGACATCACTACATAAAAGATAAGAGAACAACAACAACAAAAAGAAACAGCAGCCTAAGGTTTTTTTTTTTTTTTCTCTCTCCATTATTGGCTTGCCCTAAATTAGTGCTAGTTATTCATACTTGAGAGTGTTCTATGAACTTCCTTCAAAAAGTACCCAGTATTAACACTTGCATTGGTAGAAGAAGCTGAAATTGCGGATGGAATTTTTGGTGGTGAAGTTACACCATCATTCAAGCTAATTTCTCTATCCTCTTCAGTGATTGTTTCCATCATCTTTGATGTTCTATGCCTCATCACACTAACATATTGTGGTGGTGCCACTTCCATGAAAAACCTTGCAATGCGAGAATTCGCCATTCTTAATGTGAATCAACTTCAAGTGTATAAAAGGGGAAGCTATTTGCTAAGAGATAGATAGTAATGAAACTTCAGTTGAAGAAGCTATTTGCTAAGAGATAGATAGTAATGAAACTTCAGTTGAAGTTGTTTTGTATACCGAGGATGTGTATGAAGAAGAAGGTCACGGTTCAATTTATAAGGGGTGGCTACAAGTAACTAACTAGGCTTAAATTGAGTCGAGGGTTTTAATCTTTGAGGTTAAATCAATTTTTGTTGGCTAGTGCCGTCTCCAGCTTTTGCTATTAAATGTGATGCCATACTATCTTACAAGATTTGTGCCTATTGTGGGACAATGTTTGGTATGTGTCAAAACTTGAATGGAAATTCTAATATCCTCTAAGATATGGTTTTTGTTGGCTACATTAAGTTCCAAATTTGTACTTTTCTTTAAGACTTTTCATCAGTTTAGTACTATTGCACGTTTCTACCAATAGGGAAATGAATTTGATTTGGAAGTTGAAGAAGAAGTAGTAGCTGACATTTCTGAAACAGTCGAAGTCGAAGAGGTTGTGGTTGAAATAAGTCAAAGACCTCAAAGAAATAGAGTTCTTCCAACAAGATTTCATGATTATGAAGTGGTGGGTGATGATGAAATCACACCAGATGAAGAATTAGTTCATTTTGCTTTACTTACAAGTGCTGAACCAATTAAATATATCAAAGCTTTGAAGACTAAACAATGGAAGTTAGCTATGGTCGAAGAGTTACAGGCAATCGAAAGAGACAACACATGGGAGTTAGTCGAATTGTCGGCACATACAAATGCTATCGAAGTAAAATGGATATACAAGTTGAAACATAATGCTGATGGCTCGATAGCAAGACATAATGCAATATTAGTAGCTCGAGGGTTTCTTCAAAGAGAAGGACTCGATTACTCTGAAGTATTTGCTCCAGTAGCAAGATTGGAGACTGTTCAACTAGTGGTAGCATTGACATGCAACCAAGACTGGTCGACAGTTTATTTAGATGTTAAATCAGCATTTCTAAACGGTCCTTTAGACGAAGAGGTCTATGTCACACAACCTCCAGGGTTTGTGATTCAGAAGGAAGCGAGTAAAATATATAAGTTGCACAAAGCACTCTATGACCTCAAGCAGGCACCTAGGACATGGAACAAGAAGATCGACTCATACTAAATCGAATTGGGATTTGTCAAATACAAATCTGAGTATGGTGCCTATGTTCAGGTAGTAGCACAAGATATAACAATCATCTTCTTATATGTTGATGACTTGCCACTACAACATTTGTTGTCTCTGGCAACACATTTTAGATAACATGTAGAAATTGTTGCCTTAAATTCATATAGGCAACGATTTACGATTGTTGTCAAAAATATGTTTGCAACCCTTGATAATCGTCGCCTAAAATACTTTTGGGGACGTTTATGGAGCGAGACTCTTTTAATTTTTTGCCAACGATTGTTAATTGTGCCCTTAACTGCTTTTGGGGACGATTTTAGAGCGTTAAAATATTATTTCTTTAGCAATGTTTGACAATTGTCCCCTAAAATATTTTTGGGGACATTTTTAGATTGTTACATTAGTTCTAATAAAAGGCTACATTTCTGAAATGTTGTATAAATTTTTTTAACATTATCAAATTTTTGGTGGCAATCTTCCCTCCAAAACTTATACACTAAAAAACAAATATTTTTCTCTAAATATTATATATATATATATATATATATATATATATATATATATATATATATATATATATATATATATATATATATATATATATATATATATATATATATATATATATATATATATATATTAAAAAAAATTTAACACATAATTATAAAATAATATTTAATTATAAGCATGTATTTATCCACATGGACTTAATAAAAAATACAAAATTATAAAATCTTATTACATGCTGTATCCACACTTAACAAAAAAATTAAGTCAAACTATAATTTCCATTACTCCTCTTGCGATATCTTAATTGAGAATTTGAAGACAATTGAGTTTGAATAAGCCATGACTAGAAGCATAATATCTACAAGACGTATATCAACCTTTATTTATATAATACTAAATAGTTTAGGCGCATTTCTTATTTTAAAAACTTAATAACTTTTTTACAACTTCTTTAATAATAATTATAATTTAATATATGTTGGTTTCATATTAAGGGACACCATAAAGATATAATCATTATAAAAATTTAATATTTCTTTATATATCAAGTAATGTTTTTTTATAAAGAGTGAAACATTAATAACATTAATAAAGTTTTAATTTTAAAGGAGGAATTCAAATATTGTTATAATAGTATAATTATTATTTATAATGTGCTATGCGTTTCATTTCATTGTTTCAAATTATAAAATATTTTAGATATTTTATACAAATTATAAAATACTTTAGATATTTTATACAAATTAAAAAAATATAGTTAATTTATATGAGAAAAAGAAATTATATATGAATTTATAATATTGACCTTTATTTTACACAAAAAATTAAATAATTAAAAAAAGAAATAAATGAAAAATGGTATATCATTAAAAGTATCACTAATGTTGCAAAATGAAAGATCGTAATAATTAAAATTGTAAAGTGATTTATAACTTAAGATAGTTTTATTTTGTAAAGTGATTTTTAATTTAGTGCGGAGGAAATATATTATATTATCATGATATATCTATTATATATTTTTAAATTTATATTGTTAATTTAAAATTTTTCTGAATTTTTAAATTAAATATTACTTGTATTTTATAACTAGCTAGGATAAAATACATAAGTAATATTTTTCTGTAAAAAAAAAGGGGAAAATAGATATTAGTATTAATACTGATGGCACAATTGTCCACGTCTTCTTAAAAAAACATAGAAAATAGAAAAAAGAAAAAAAACAGAAAAGGAAAACAAAAGCTTTCGATCTCCTTCTTCACACATTCCGCCGCCGAACCTAACAGTACCGCTCTCAGACGCTCCAAGTCCAAGTCCTTCATCCGCTCCGACTCAAACCACTTTCGTCCACACCCTCCGCCGTGTTGTTCGTCACTCCGTCCAATTGCCTTCGTTCGTCGTCCGCTCGATTCCAAAAACCCCACCCTAGATCTACCGTACCACATCCCACTGCCGTAAACTTATATACATCGCCATTTCTGATCCGCAACAATGCTCAACACCTTCAGCAGCAACATAACAACACGACATGCTCAAAATTGCATTATTGGTAACTTCTCTTCATTTTATTTCAATACAGTTTATCGTTGTTGGTTTATATTGGTGAGAAGGTTCAATGAATGGATGTTAATTTGCTATTGATTATGTTTTTCTGACGTGGGTGTATGTTGGTGTGCTTGTATGTATTTCTGCATTTATATTTCGATCGCCATTTCGTATCATTGTGTTTGAGTTGAATCTGAGTGTTTTGATGGTTGTTTGAGTTTGTGTGGGCATTTTCATATTTGTTGTTGATACAAGAAGTTGACAACAGTGAGATTTTATGAGTTTTCTCGAGGTACTATCTTCTGAATATAGACAAATATATGCAAGAGCATTATAAAAGACATTCAATCAGAATCCAGCTATCTACTGTATTTTTACTCGGATTATATATAGTTATCTGTATTATTTATGATTGAATCTTAATTAACATTTTTGTCTTTATCATGTACATTCAGAAGGTACTAGCAATGTAAATAAGTTTTACTAAAAAGTAACTGTATAGATTGCATTAACTTTTGCAGCATACTGCCAAGTGCCACTCCCATGTTAATGTTTGTTTTCTGATGTGCAAGTAGGTTTCTTATGAAAGTGACGATGAAACCGATTATGATTCTAGTACTGATTAGGTAGCATTGACAATGTGTTTTACCAATTTTTTTAATAGATTTTGAGTAGAAAATAGATTTGTTCAAAGTTTAATTTATGGTTAAGCATACTGTCATTTTTTTACTTAAACCATAACAAACTAGATTCAAATATACTGTTAATTTATGGTTATGCATAATGTCACTTTATACTCAATTTTTCATTATATAATTATGTAATTTTCCCCCTTTGTAGATCATAGTTGTTGGCCATAATGGACAATGTAAGAAGTGTAAAAGATGGTGGATCACATAGGAAGAATGGCCGAAGTCCTACTAAAAGATTTGATTTTCCTCTTCAAGTAAGATCAAGTGCAGAATTGAGAAATAAAGTGCTACAACATGTTAAGAAAGAAAAAATTGACAAGTTACATGAGATGCTACAGGGAAACAATAGAGAAAGGGTTCAGGAAATTATAGAAGTTGTGGACGGTAAATCATTTTCTTGTTTCATTTGATTTTATATAAAATGATGTATGTTAAAGTTATGTTTTGGAATTCCTTTAGATATATTATTCCTATTGTTTTTTAATGAATTTTTACAAAAATTAGAAACACCAAAAAAAGGAACTCATCAAGAAAGAGTTCAAAAGGTTGATCACAATTTGGACAAAGAGACTATTGCAAAGAAAATGGAGATAGACAAACTCTCGCAACCAAAAGTAATGAAAGATCATGCACATGGTGACAAAGAAGTTGTACAAGGTAAGTGATTTTTAAATTTTTCTATTATGCATATATTACATGAAATTATTCCTAATATCTTTTGGTGAATTTTTACTAAAATTAGAAACACCAAAGAAAAGAACTCAAGTGAAAGCTACAGTGAATAGAGAAAGAATTCAAAAGGTTGATGGAAAATTGGACAACCACATTGCTATGAAGAAAGCAGAGAGACCTAAGCTTTTGAAACCACAAGCTAAGGAAGTTTTTGCACATGGAAACAAAGAAGTTTCACAAGGTAGTTAATATCCTTGCATATACTTTAAATTTATATATTTCTTTTCATGACATTATTATGACGAGAAAATTACATTGAAACCAGGAATGCTGAAAAAAATAATTCATGAGAATCTACTAGAGAACAATAGAGATAAAATTCAAAAGGTGGAAAAAC